TGACGCTGCTGCTGCTGCTGCTGCTGCTGCTGCTGCTGCGGGAGCAGCAGCAGCAGCAGCAGGAGGAGCAGCAGCAGAGGGAGAGGGAGAAGAAGAGGTTGAGGGGCTGTGTATATTCGTTACGCATCAGTCCGCGCTGCTGGCGCTGCAGGCTGCTTTGGGTGTATCGGCAGCTCACATACAAATTCCTCACTTCGGGTGTTATATACAGGCAGAGCTGCTAGAGATAGATGTGCCTATAGACAACAGCAGCAGCAGCAGCAGCAGCAGCAGCAGCAGCAGCAGCAGAGGGGGGGGGGGGGGAGGAGAGCAGCAACAGCGCGCTGCAGTGGAGATGGTGATGGATGATGAGGCAGCAGAAACAGCTGCAGCAGCAGCAGCAGCAGCAGCAGCAGCAGCAGCTCCTGCTGCTGCTGAGCCCTTGTCTTCACCGAGAAGCTGCGGCGTAGACGGTGCCGATGGAGGGAAGCAAAGCAGCAGCAGCAGCAGCAACAACAGCAGCAACAGCAGCAGCAGTTGCAGCAGCGGTTGTTGTTGCTCTTGCTGCAGCAGTGGTTTGGGGTGTACAGACACCTCAGCCGGCGAGGAGACCCAGGAGGGCAACAGCAGCAGCGCGCCCAGCACCAGCAGCAGCAGCAGCAGCGGCAGCAGCAGCAGCAGCAGCAGCAGCAGCAGCAGCAGCGGGCCTCTGTGCAAAGCTGCTGCTTCGTCTGTGCCGGAGACAAAGCGGCTGCTGTCTCTGCTGTCTCCTCTTCCCAAGACAGCGCGACGGAGACACCCCAACGTCGCAGTGCGCTGGTGTATAGACGGCCACGCCCCCCTGGCTCTGCCTGAGCAGCTGCGGTGGGGGGCGCTCAGCAGCAGCAGCAGCAGCAGCAGCAGCAGCAGCAGCGGCAGCAGCGGCAGCAGCAGCGGGAACGGGAACGGGAACGGGAACGGGAACGGGAGCGGGAGTGGGGGGAGAAGGAGCAGCAGCAGCAGTGATTGCGAGTGCAGCAGCAGCAGCAGCAAGGATGACTGCTGCCACTGCAGCAGCAGCAGCAGCAGCAGCAGCAGCAACTGCAACATAGTGCTGCTGGATGATCTGCTGCTTTTTATTGATAGCCGCTGGGAGCGGTTTGGGGCGCCGATCCCCCCGGAGCCCCTGCTGGCGCTGCGTGTAGCTGAGATGACAGAGGAGCTGGCGCAGCAGCAGCAGCAGCAGCAGCAGCAGCAGCAGCAGCAGCTGCAGCAGCAGCAGCAGCAGCAGCAACAGCAGCATAAAGAACAGTGTAATCTTGATGAAACACCCATGGCAGAGAACAGAGTCAGACGCTACAGGCTAGCGATACCGGAGGCTTGCTGCGGCGCAACAGCAGCAACAGCAGCAGCAGCAGCAACAGCAGCAGCAGCAGCAGCAGTCACTACTGAAGCAGCTGTATCTGCAGCAGCAGGGACACCTGCTGCAGATCATCGGCGCCGTGTTATTTAATCGAAATCCGCTGCAGCAACAACAGCAGCAGCAGCAACAGCAGCAACAACAGCAACAGCAACAGCAACAGCAGCAGCAGCAGCAGCAGCAGCAGCAGCAGCAGCAGCGCTGCTCTGTCTTTCTAATATTTATCGAGGCCACAGCAGACTTTGGTGGTTAATCGTGCAGTTTTTATGTTGCTATTTTATCTGCTGCTGGCGAACAGCAGCAGCAGCAGCAACAACAGCAGCAGCAACAGCAGCAGCAGCAGCAGCAGCAGCAGCAGCAGCCTGCTGCTGCATCCGGCGCAGCAGCTGCTGCAGTGCTCAGCCCTTCAGGGCGCAGTATAACATTTTAGGGGAGCGGCGGCCCTGGGATATTTTAGCAGCAACTACTGTTGCTGCAGCAGCTGCAACAACTGTTGCTGCAGCAGCAGCAGCAGCGGCGACTACTGTTGCTGCAG